CCGATCTCGGCTCACCGCAACCTCCGCCTCCTGGGTTCAGGCAATTCTCCTGCCTCAGCCTCCTGAGTAGCTGGGATTACAGGCACGCACCACCATGCCCAGCTAATTTTTTGTATTTTTAGTAGAGACGGGGTTTCACCATGTTGACCAGGATGGTCTCGATCTCTTGACCTCGTGATCCACCCGCCTCGGCCTCCCAAAGTGCTGGGATTACAGGCTTGAGCCACCGCGCCCGGCTAAATGTGGCATTATTCCTAAACTAGGTAATGCCTTCCCCAAATCAGGATTTGGGGAAGCTAAATCTCGGTTCTAGGGTTAACATTGGCCTATTGCCTGATGCAAGCAGATCTAAATACTTTTGAAGACAACAAAACATTTATCAATAAGTTTAAAATAGGGCAGATAGTATACTTAGAAAGCTGGCAAATTCGTGTTAAACTGACAACTATTCAAATTCGTGTTAAACTGACAACTATTCTTTTTCTTTTTTTTTTGATACAGGGTCTTGCTCTGTCACCAGGCTGAGGTGCAGTGGCACAATCACAGCTCACTGTAGCCTTGAACTCCTGGTCTCAAGCATCCTCCTGCCTTAGCCTCCTGGGTAGCTGGGACCACAGGTGCATGCCACCATGCCTGGGTAATTTTTTTTTGTACTTTTTTGTTGAGACAGAGTTTTGCCTTGTTCCCCAGGCTGGTTTTGAACTCCTGAGCTCAAGGGTTCTGCTCACCTCTGCCTCCCAAAGTGCTGGAATTACAGACATAAGCCACCACCATGCCTGGCCGACAACTATTCTTTTTTTTTTTTTAGATGGAGTCTTGCTCTGTCGCCAAGCTGGAGTGTAGTGGTGCAATCTCAGCTCACTGCAATCTCTGCTGCCTGGGTTCAAGCGATTCCCCTGCCTCAGCCTCTCGTGTAGCTGGGACTACAGGCACCTGCCACCATGCCCGGCTAATTTTTTGTATTTAGTAGAGATGGGGTTTCACCACATTGGCCAGGCTGGTCTTTATTTCCTGACCTTGTGATCCACCCGCCTCGGCCTCCCAAAATGCTGGGATTACAGGCGTGAGCCACCACACCTGACAACTATTCTTTTTTATTTTTATTTATTATTTTTTTTATTAAGACGGGGTTTCACCATGTTGGTCAGGCTGGTCTTGAACTCCCGACCTCAGGTGATCTACCCGCCTTGGCCTCGAAAGTGCTTGGATTACAGGTGTGAGCCACTACGCCCGGCCAACTATTCTTAAATATATAAGTTAAATGTAAATTTTAGCTAGTGTTAAGAAAGCTACCTAAAGGTTGTATTTTAGGTAGGTTTAGAAGATTCATGCCTCAACTAGTTTGAGTAATCTTGGTCAAGTGGCTGAATGTTTCCCATTACCTAAATTGTGATAATAGGTGACCCCTTTATCTGTGGGGAATATTTTCCAAGATCCCCAGTGGATGACACAGATAATATTGAACCCTCTATGTACTATGTTTTTCCTTACTGAGTTGAGAACTTCCACCTTTTCACTTAAAGGAAGCACTTTCCAGCTGCTTTTTGGCATATCCGAATTGCAGGCATCACTACTCTTGTGCTTTGGAGTCATTATTATTATTATTATTTTTTTTTGAGACGGAGTTTCGCTCTTGTTACCCAGGCTGGAGTGCAATGGCGCGATCTCGGCTCACCTCAACCTCCGCCTCCTGAGTTCAGGCAATTCTCCTGCCTCAGCCTCCTGAGTAGCTGGGACTACAGGCACGCGCCACCATGCCCAGCTAATTTTTTGTAGTTTTAGTAGAGACGGGGTTTCACCATGTTGACCAGGATGGTCTTGATCTCTTGACCTTGTGATCCACCCACCTCGGCCTCCCAAAGTGCTGGGATTACAGGCTTGAGCCACCGCGCCCGGCTGGAGTCATTATTAAGTAAAATAAGGGTTACTTGAAACAAGCACTGTACTGTGACACCTTGATACCAGTTGATTTGATAACAGAGATTGCTACTAAGTGACTAAAGGGCTGGTAGTGTATACGGAGTGAACATGCTGGACAAAGAGATGATTCATGGTAGGAGACCAGAGTAGGACAGTGTGAGATTTCCTCATGCTATTTGGAAGTGAACAATTTAAACAGTTTATTTCAGGAGTTTTCCATGTATTTTTGGACCATGGTTGACTGTTGGTTAAATGAACCTTGGAAAGCAAAACTGTAGATGGGGGTGGGGGGGCACTACTGTAATACATTCTTTCTTCTTTCCCTCTCTAGATTATAAATAGCAATCTCTGATGCTTACCTGCACCCAACTTATCTTTCATAGCCCTCACTACCACTGCCTCACTTTGACTGGTGAGTACACAGGAAATATTGATGAAAACAGGTGATGCCATCTGTTGGAAGGAAGTGAAGTTGACCACTCTAACAGGGTAGATGGCCAGGCCAGGAGTGAGGGGAGAGTGGCTATGGCCAGCAACCACTAGAACTGGGGAGCTGGAGACAACCTTGGAGAAAAGAGAAAACCTCTTGTTTAAAAGAAGAAAAATCAGTTTTGTATCAGTATGTTCTAATCTCAAACATATACAGTACAAGAATTGTCAAGATCTGGATTTCTAGCTAGCTAGCCAACACTAAATAAATCATTTACTTTTTTTACCCCCTTAGGTATGTTGACAAAGCTCATGACCTAGATTTGGACCCTGGCAGCCTGCCTGGCATTACGAAGGAGGTGGGTTTTCTTCATTTGATTTTGTAATTTCCTGTGGTGATTTTTATTGTCACTCAGTAACTTCTTTTGCCCTTGGAGTGAGAATGAAAAATATCTTTTCAAATTCCTGATCTCTTGTTCTCTGTTGGTTTAGTCCTTAACATACCTTTAGCTTCCCAAGAACTCTGTCCACTCCCAGTACTCTTATCTCCCCGATATCTTGTTTGTGGCTAAGAACCAGTTCTGACTGGTTAATATAAAAGGCTGGGATGAAAGGAATGAGGATTCGTTGCATTCCATTCTTGTTAGGTTCACTGACCAGTGTAGCCCACCCATAGACTGAGGTGTCAGCCACACTGAGGGCCTGTAGCAGCTCCTCTGACTGCGGTTGAACCTTGATTATGCAGACATAAACCCCTGAAAAAAAAGGAAAAACTGAGCAGGAAGGTTCAGAGGCTCTATTGAGCTAACTGAATTAGGGTGGGAAGGGAAAACTGACATGCAAATTCAGCAAAAGAGAAAATGTGAATTTAGTTTTGATTATTCAATATTAGCACAATATTGGCCACCATGAGGATGACACCAAATAAAAACACTCCTAGAGAAACCACAACTCACCTCATTGACTGAGAATACCATTCTTTTTTTTTTTTGAGACAAGGTCCTGCTCTGTCATGCAGGCTAGAGCACAGTGAGTGGCATGATCATGACTTACTGCAGCCTCCACCTCCCAGGCTCCAGCAATCCTCTCACCTAAGCCTCCTGAGTAGCTGAGACTACATGCATGAGCTACTGTGCCTGGCTAATTTTTGTATTTTTCGCTGAGGTGGGTGGATGACAGATCAAATAAGAATGGTATTCTTAGTCAGGGGCGGTGTCTCACGCCTGTAATCTGAGCACTTTGGGAGGCCAATGCAGGAGGATTGCTTGGGCCCAGGAATTTGAGACCATCCTGGGCAACATGGTAAAACCTCATCTGTACAAAAAACACAAATTTTTTTTTTTAAATGGAGTCTTCCTCTGTCCCCAGGCTGGAGTGCAGTGGTATGATGTCAGCTTACTGAAACCTTGAATTCCTAGGCTCAAGCAATTCTCCTGCCTCACCCTCCTAAGTAGCTGGGGTTACAGGTACCCACCACCACACCCAGCTAATATTTGTATTTTTAGTAGAGATGGGGTTTCACCATGTTGGCCAGGCTGGTCTCAAACTCCTGACCTCGTGATTGCTCTGTTGCCTAAGTGGGAGTGCAGTGGAGCTATCTTGGCTCACTGCAACCTCCGCCTCCTGGATTCAAGCAATTCTCCCTGTCTCAGTCTCCCCAGTAGTTGGGATTACAGCTGCCTGCTACCACAACTGGCTTTTTTTTTTTTTTTTTTTTTTTTGAAAAGTGGAAGCAAGTTTATTAAGGGATAAAAAAAAAATGGCTACTCCACAGACAGAGCAGCCATTTTTGTATTTTTAATAGAGATGGGGTTTTGCCATGTTGGCCAGGCTGGTCTCAAACTCCTGACCTCAGGTGACCCACCCACCTCAGTCTTCCAAAGTGTTGCTATTACAGGTGTGAGCCACCACACCAGGCTCTATACCTTACATTTGATATGCATCATTTCATTTTTAGATAAGTTGATTTACATAAAGTCATCCTAACATCATGCCTATTTCTAAATTCCACTTGTTAATCCTATTCTATTTGGAATACCTTTCAGTTCAACAAAACATCCAAATACTGTGCTACATGCTGGGAATGAAAGATAAATGAGACATAATGCAGAGCCTCACAGAGTTAATGGGGACTAACAAGAAAATAGTAAATTTTTTTTTTTTTTTTGAGATGGAGTCTTGTTCTTGTTGCCCAGGCTGGAGTGCAACGGCACGATCTCAGCTCACTGCAACCTCCACCTCCCAGGTTCAAGAGATTCTCCTGCCTCAGCTTCCTGGGTAGCTGGGATTACAGGTGCCCACCACCACGCCTGGTTAATTTTTGTATTTTTAGTAGAGACAAGGTTTCATCATGTTGGCCAGGCTGGTCTCGAACTCCTGATTTCATGATCTACCCGCCTTGGCCTCCCAAAGTGCTGGAATTATAGGCGTGATCCACTGCGCCCAGCCTGAAAATAGTAAAGTATAATAGAAAAGCACAGAGTATTCTAAGAGGCATGTGTTAAAAATTGTTTGAATAGGGCTGGGGGCAGTGGCTCAACACCTGTAATCCCAGCACTTTGAGGCTGAGGCAGGAGGATTGCTTGAGGCCAGGAGTTTGAGACCAGCCTGGACAATATAGCAAGATCATGTCTATCTAAAAAAACAAAACAAAACAAAAAAAAGCTGGGCATGTTGGCATGTGCCTATAGTCTTAGCAACTCAGGAGGTGAGGCAGGAGGATTGCTTGAGCCTGGGAGTTTAAGGTTACAGTGAGCTATGATCACACCACTGCACTCCAGACTTGGGCAACACAGCAAGATCCTGTTGAAAAAAAAAAAAAAAAAAAAGAAAAAGAAAGTTGAATGGATTGAACAAAAGTGTTGCCTGAGAAAGATTCCACAGTTTTATATTAGATGAAACTAGAAGATATAAATGCAATCCAGTAAGAATGGGACAATCATACAAATAGATACATAAACAGGGAAACCAGTTTCAACTGGTGTAACCTACCTTTCTCCATACTAAAATCAGAATGGACATGAAAGACCTTACTTGCTGGAATATCTAGCAAAGTATTACTGAACTGTACATGGCACAGCATGAGGGTAGCTGGAAGAAGTACTTTTGTAATAGCCAAGGCCTGGTTTGGGGTACAGGATCCTGAAAAGCAGAAAAGAGGTAATAACTTTGTCACTAACAAGAATTTGTAAAAAGAGAGACCACTATATGGAGGCAAATTTGGCATCATAAAAAAACACAAGCAAGAAAGAGAGTCGATCCTGGCTGGTTTGCCCACCTCTGCTTCAGTCAAGGTAAAAGAATAGTGTGAGAACCTTGCATTCTAATTTGTGAATGACTACAGTGGGGCTTCCATTATCAATATTATTCATAGGTGGTGTCCTTTTTCAAAAAATTTAAAAAAAATTAATCAGTGGGAGGCTGGGTGTGGTGGCTCATGCCTGTAAGCCAAGCACTTTGGAGGCCAAGGGGGGCGGATCACCTGAGGTCGGGAGTTCAAGACCAGCCTGACCAACATGGTGAAACCCTCTCTAAAAAAAAAAAAAAAATTTTTTTTTTAATTAAAAAATAATAATAAGGGCCAGGCGCGGTGGCTCACACCTGTAATCCCAGCACTTTGGGAGGCCGAGGCGGGTTGATCACAAGGTCAGGAGATCGAGACCATCCTGGTCAACATGGTGAAACCCCGTCTCTACCAAAACTACAAAAAATTAGCTGGGCATGGTGGCGCGTGCCTGTAATCCCAGCTACTCAGGAGGCTGGGGCAGGAGAATTGCCTGAACCCAGGAGGCGGAGGTTGCGGTGAGCCGAGATAGCGCCATTGCACTCCAGCCTGGGTAACATGAGTGAAACTCCGTCTCAAAAAAATAAAAAAATAAAAAAATAAAAATAATAGTAATAATAATAATAATCAGTGGGAATAACAAAGATTACAGGGAAGTTAGAAATCTATTAAAAATAAAGCAGTACAGTTGGGAGGTAGCTTTTAGGTCTAGGAGCATTTGTTTTCCACATACATGTATTATAATACAATTACAATATAATTCAAGCCCCAAATCCCTAAAACTTCATCACAAGTGGTGCCTTAAGCAGAATCATATAGACAGCAAGAAGTGGACTGATGTCATCATTGGGTCAACTGCAATGAGTGGCATTCTTCTTGAAAAATCTTCAAGCAAAATCAAAGGGACTGATGCATGAGGTTTCTCAATAAAATAAGTTGTGATTTTAGAAAGATTCTGGGGAATAAAACGACAGTCTGTTTATAAAATCATAATTCGGACAACAGTGGGTGAATATGTTATGAAGAAACATTTTGTATTTTTTTTTCTGTAAAAGAACCTGGGATGGCCGGGTGAGGTGGCACCCACCTATAATCTCAGCAATTTGGGAGGCCAAAGTGGGCGGATGATCGGGAGTTTGAGACCAGCCTGACCAACATGGAGAAACCCCGTCTCTACTAAAAATACAGAAAAATTTAGCCAGGTGTTGTGGCACATGCCTGCAATCCCAGCTACTTAGGAGGCTGAAGCAGGAGAATTACTTGAACCCTGGAGGCAGAGGTTTTGGTGCACCGATATCGCGCCATTGTACTCCTGCCTGGGCAACAGAGCGAAACTCGGTCTCAAAAAAAAATAATAATAAATAAAGGCCGGGTGCGGTGGCTCAAGCCCGTAAT